TTTCGTTCTCCTAAACTTAGGTACCTCCACGAGATCGCTAAAAAAAGAGCATAGCATGAAGAAAAAGACACCAAACTTGACGAAAACAAAATTTTATCGGCTAAATGTTTATGTTATTATTAAGAGGAAAGATCAAAATATTTTGGGGGTATTTTTTTACATTATTTAATCGTCTGAAAATTTCGTTAAAAATGTTGTGTTTTTTTTTGAGTCAGCAAAATTGACCATTTTTTTTTCCATTTTCTAAAAAACTGAAAATCTCCCTTTGAAATTCTTTTAAATATCAATTATCATTTTTTAAAAACTTATTTTAAGAAAATCAGAAATTATAATGTTTATTTAAAATATTTTGAACCAAGCTTAACTTAGCTTCTGCGCCGAAAAGATGCAATTTGAAAATAAATCAAAGCAGGTCATAAACTTTCGAGTCACTTGACAGGTGATGAATGACATATTAACGGATTCCGTGAGGATAATTTGTTCTACGGAAGGAGAAAAGTGAAATTATTTACATTTAAATGAACAAATTATTTACCTCGTTATTTTTATGGAAAACTTTCAGCGCTCTAATTTTTTTTTTTTTTTTGGACTTAGCTTTTACCTTTACGTTTACGATGCTTTATGGAAAATATTTTATAAAGAAATTAAAATATGACTGTTAAGAGTGAGATTAAATTTCATATTTCATAAGAAAGGTATCTAATTAATTTATAGGTACCTTTCTTAGGAAATTTTATCAAAAGTGTACATAAAATACTATAATTTTTGTACATTTATTACATTTTACTGTGTTATTTGTATTTCCATTCATTTTATTATCAATTTTGATATTTCATTTATAGAAAAATGTCATAACTGAGATTAATATAAAAATAAGATCATATAAATTTCATAAGATGATACTGATACTTGTAGGTACCCTTGTCAGTTGAAATTGAAAAATCAAATTAACTTTTCCATACGTGTTTCGCAAAAGTAAAGGCCTTAACAGCGGAGAACAATGCTTAACTCAAATAACGCAACTTAATTGTATTATGGTTGGTCTTCCATACTTTATAATTACAGACCGATTATAAACACAAAATTATATTTCTTAATTACTGCGGCTCTTCTGATTAGTTAAAACGATACAATTTACAACGCGCTAAAAATCGGATCTATCTCATAAGAACACTTACGAAAGTGAATGCGGCTTTTAAATAATTTTATAACATTTTAACAACTTAAATGTAAAAATCTATTATAATTAAAGAAATAACAAATAATTGTATTAAAAATTTATTTTTCATCGAAAAAATTTTTGCTTTCAAAAAATATTGTCCATATTCAAAAAAACAACTAAAAGCAAATAAAAGCATTTGAAATTAAATAATATCTTTGTTTTATTGAGTTTTGTATGTTACAATTCAGAGCTGATTTTCAGGTAGGGGAGTCCAATTAAAAAAAAACAAAACATGATTTGCATTCCTTGCAATTTGCATTCCTTCCTATTGTAATCACTAAACCTGACGATCGAATTTCATAAAATTAGTTATTGGGGTGGGTGGGTAATAAATATTAAAAAAAATATTTCTGCCATGACTTTAATAAAAATAAACTATTTATAATAATTTTGAACATATGTGAATAGTTTCTGAAAGTTTCATTAACATCCGACAATTATTTTTTTTTTTGCAAGAGTTTCCAAATTAATGTGTGTCACACAAAAAAAAAAGAAAAAAAAAAGTGCTCAAAATTGTATATGTTATTTTACTAGTTCCGGTGATACAAAGAGAAACAAGGTTTTTTTTTAAATCAAAATTTAGAATGTTCCAAAAAGAAGGAAAAATTTTTTTAAAATAATTAAAATAAACTTTGATCTTTCCTCTTAATAATAATATAAACATTTAGACGATAAAATTTTGTTTTCGTCAAATTTGGCGTCTTTTTCATCATGCTATGCTCTTTTTTTAGCGATCCCATGGAGTTACCTACCTAAACTGGTTGCCACCTAAGACTAGAGAGCAGAGTCTATCCTGCTATTTAATCCATAGCGAGGACAGAACTTTGTCAGAGTAACTGAAATCTATTGGTCAAAGTTACTTGATGATTTACGAAGCGTAGTTTCGTCTGAACGAGCGACCTCCCTACACCAGGAATTGTCCAATAATTTGTTAACCATTGCTCTACGGCGAGGCGTCATACACTTAGCTTAGGTTGGCACAAAAGCAATCAATGAGGATCGAACTCGTTACAGCCATTCCGTCATTTATTTTTACTCTTCCCATTCCATTAGTGAGTATGCTGCTTGATTCTGTCTATCGGCAGAATACGGCAGCCACACTGAATATTTTGAGGGGTGGACAGGTCTTACTAACATCTGTTTTGTTTTAGCTTGTTTTTGTTTCAATTTTAGTTCGTTTCCGGGGTTCATCCTCGCCTCATTTCATGTTTCATGAAATTTTTATATTCAGACATCTTAAGATTTTTATATCATGGGGTGTTTTTATTTTGTTTATATATATATATATATATATATATATATATATATATATATATATATATATATATATATTAATTGATTTAAAATATGTTTTTTTCGCTACACAGTTCTAACCATGTATCAAAAATGGAAGCTAAAAGCCACGAATTTAATTTTGTGATTAAATTAAAGACATTAGTTCCATTTCATCCTCAAGCGTATTTTGGAGTAACTTTTAAAATCACTGGGTTTTAAATTCACAAAATTCATGTTTCCAAGGTTACAGATAAATCTATTTTTCTAGACAGGGGTGGCTGGGTTTTTCATATATCTATAATTTAATGTATCAGTTATTGCTACGTTTGGGTCGTGGGAAGGGATGCATTTTTCAATATTATATATATATTTTCATTATTAGTTTTTTTAGACTATATTTCATTTAATATAAATAAAATGTATTCGAGTTATTTACCGTCAGTAAAATTATTTTTCTATATCAAGTATATTTATAATACGACTTTTAAAAATTTTATATTTAAATATTTTTTTAGTAAGATTTTTTTTAACTTTACGGCAAAAATAGCTACTTCATTTCTCTAATTTAGTAAACTTTATTTATTTATTTAATTACAATAATGAAAATGTTTTAAAGTTGTAATTAAAATTGTAGTTAATTAAAATGAATTCTAACCTAAACTTCTTTTAAATTGTAATTAAATAAATAAATAAAGTTTACTAAAATAGAGAAATGAAGTAGCTATTTTTGCCGTAAAGATAAAAAAAAAAAAAATTTACTTAAAAAATATTTAAATATAAAAAAAAAATTAAAAATCGTAATATAAATATACTTGATGTAGAAAAATAATTTTACTGACGGTAAGTAACATTTTACTTCTATTATATGAAATATAGTCTACAAAACTAATAATGAAAATATTTTAAAGTTGTAATTAAAATTGTAGTTAATTAAAATGAATTCTAACCTAAACTTCTTTTTAATTTGTAATTAAATAAATAAATAAAGTCTACTAAATCGGAGAAATGAAAATTTTACTTTAGTAATATTTAAATATAAAATTTTTAAAAATCGTAATATACTTTAAATATACATAAAAAAAAAATGTCGTAAAATTTTAGCCGTTAACAATATAATTAAAAAAAATCTAGACGACAGGCTTTAACGGAAGTTAGATTTCATTGAAAAATGCATCCCTTCCCACGACCCAAACGTAGCAATAACTGATATATTAAATTATAGATATATGAAAAACCCAGCCACGCTTGTCTAGAAAAATAGATTTATCTGTAACCTTGGAAACGTGAATTTTGTTTTAGCTGTGAATTTAAAACCCAGTGATTTTAAAAAGTTACTCCAAAATACACTTGAGGATGAAATGGAACTAATGTCTTTAATTTAATCACAAAATTAAATTCGTGGCTTTTAGCTTCCATTTTTGATACATGGTTAGAACTGTGTAGCGAAAAAACCATATTTTAAATCAATTAATTTATCATATTAATGCTCTGTAAATTTACATTGAGCACTATTTTGTAAAAATAAAAATATGTATAAGAACACCGGATTATATATCTTGCTGTATATATATATATATATATATATATATATATATATATATATATATTGTAGGTTCCCCCTGTGAATATGTGGTATTGTGGTACGTGTAGGATTGAATGGTGATGAATGAGTTCTTTTATTTATTACTGTACAGATACAATAATTGTGGCACATGGCCGAAGGGGAGAGAGGCTGGTCTTCGCTAACTATCCTATTCCTAGTTAATTACGATCATGACCCATTCATTCAATACAATTGCTCCATTTACCACAAAAACTAATTCATCGCCATTCAATCCTACATGAATGAGTTCTTGTAGTAAATGGAGCAATTGTATTGAATGAATGGGTCATGATCGTAATTAACTAGGAATAGGATAGTTAGCGAAAACCAGCCTCTCCCCCCTTCGGTCATGTGCCACAATTATTGTATCTATACAGTAATAAATATGATTTTACAATAATAAATAAACAGCAATAGTTGCCTACAGGAAAAGCTGACTAACCTCTATCCCGCGATGAAGTCTTCCAGCAAGCCATTAATACTGTTAGCTTGAACAAAGCGGCGGACAATAAATTAACGAATTGTTTGTTGGTGTTTTATTAAGCGATTTAAAATACAGATGAAGACTTAAGCAGGAAAGAAGAAAACGAAGATCTAGCTAAATAGTCGGCCAAGGAAAAGTGGATTAAATCACTGACCCTCTAGTAAAGAAAATATCAAAGTGTTATTTTATTTTTTCTTTCATTAAGAAATAATATTTAACTCTTAAGATAATCCTTTTTCTTTTCTGAGTTTTTCGTCATGTCTCCAACTCCACAGTTTTATCTAACCACTAGTCATATAAAAAAATATGGAAAAGTTGATGGGTCAACGAAATGTACCTATTGTGGAGTGGAAACCGGTTTGATATACATACATTGTGAAAAGTGTCCCGACTTCGACTTGTGTCTCCAGTGCTTTATGCATGGAGCCGAAATAGGCCAACACAAGCGCTATCATTGCTACAAGATTCGCTATCCTTCCCCTGATGGTCCCTTCAGTACCTCTGATCCTTGGACTCTTACCGAAGAGCATCTACTCTTGTACGCAATTGATGACTTTGGCTACGGAAGCTGGGACGATTGTGCCAGATTGGTGTCTGGAAAGACCCCCGAGGAATGCCGGCGACATTTCGAGACATTTTATTTAGGCGGTGTCGCTGGCCGGATGTTTTTTCCAAAGAATAAACCCTCTACTGCCGTTGAACATCCCGAACATAAAAATGACATAAACACGCAGGAGTGTCAGATTTTACTACGGGAAGCTTTCAAATTGATCGGTTTCAGCAGCAAACGTGACGAATTTGAAATTGAATATGATAACTTCGCTGAGGCTGCAATAACTCTCTCTGTCGCGCACCTCGATTACGAAACGATCAGTCACGAAATGGAAGACATGGATACAGAGTTCAAGTTGGCTCGCCTAGATCACTATCGGCGCCGATTAGCCGAGCGTGAACGTCGAAAACGCTTGGTTATTGATTATGGTCTTATTGGGTTGTTCTCGCAGAAAGCGATTTCATTGGACATCATTGTGCATGACTCTTTCCCTTTAGCAATGCAACGCGGCAACAACGCTTCGATTGCATTCCAGAAATTACTACCTTTTAAAACATTCCGTGAGTTCTTCGCCAGTTTGCATAAAGTGAATATCCTCACAGCTGAGATACAAAAGCTACAGGAATATAGATTGAATGGACTTACTAGAATTAATGAAATTATCCCTTTTCAAATTGCAAGGAGCAGACGATAGATGAAAGATCTTTAATTCTGATATGAGGAAAAAATCCTCCATGTTTATTTTGGTTGTTGACTGCATATTACAATAACACGAGCTTTTTTTTTTTTTTTTTAACTGCCTTCAAACAAAGGAAAATGTTAATTTCAAAGACAAATGTTAATTTAATAACAAATTTACCTAATTACAGCTAAAATAAACTGCATATTTTTTTTCTTTACTAAAGAGTGTCTTATGATGAGAATGTTTACTTCTCTTGCATATTTGCGAAAATATTTATTTAAATTCCCGAATGATGTTTTAGCGGAAACTTTTTTCTCCTTCAAGTTTTTTTCCAAGGCTTATTCTTCATATGATTAATTAATTGTTAATGTATAAAGTAGGTTATTTTTAATTTCTATTTAAAGTTCTATATAACTTTGACTAGCAGTCAAATTGCTTGCCTTAACCTTATGCCCTAACCTTATGCTATATTTAAGTGACATTCTTTTTGTTTTTTTTTTTTTTTTTTTTGTTTTGTTTTTTTGTTTGTTTTTGTTTTTAGCAACTACTTCAGTTAGCAAGAAGGCTCACGGTTTCATTTTCAGGGTCGTAGCAGAGACAATTTTTTTTTTTTGTGGGGGATGGGTTCAAAAATATTTAGAGCCTTAAGTTATCAAATGCCGCCAACGTGGTTTGCGACAAGAACATAAAATTTCCAGCACCTCCTTGCTTTGATAGTTTTTTGTTTTCTTGTATTTTTTTTTTTTTTTTTTTTTTTTTTATTTTTGTGTTTGAAAAAAGGCTGGGGGCAAAATTCTTGGGAGCCAAGGAAACCCTGACCCTCCCAGTTTATACGGCATTAATTTTTTTTACATACAGATTCAGCTAATGCTAACAAAACCTCTGGGCTTTGCCATTCATTTACTCATTTCAAAATCTACTTTTGGACGGTGCTTTCGTTCGTTCGAAGCATTTCGCTAGAAAGTATTTATCTAACAAAAATTTCAAATAACTGTAACATAAGTCTTCTTGTCAAACTTTCAAATGAAAGGGATGGCGATTTCTAAGAGTAATCGAAAGTGTGGGGCACCCAGTGAAGATCGAACTAACTTTTTTGCAGTTGCCTAGTAAAATGCCCGAAAAGGAATGATTTAGAAACCAAAAAAAAATTACATCGTCTGAGACAGTTATTAATTTTTTTTCACTAATGTGAACTTTGTATTATAGGAAAATACAATTAAGTCTCACAACGCAATTGCTCTTGAATAATTCCTACAAGATGCGCATTTGGACTCTGGCCGAATTTGGCGCAAATTGCCACTTTCATACCGTACCCAAGGAGGAGTGAACTCTCATTCAATATTTCAAGAAAATATCACCTTTTAGCCACTGTGCAGCAAATAACGAACGGTTAACCTGATAATCTCACAAACTGTTGCTTGCTAGTTCGTCCTCCAACAAACGCGTACACACTAATAGTGAGTTTTTTAAAAAAAAAAAAAAAACAAGCACAAAAAATCATTGGTCGCAGGTCATTTTTAATTTCTTCCAATTGTCAAAACGCACCATGAATACATTAAAAAACGTATAAATTATTTACACAATAGTGGTGGGGGAGGGTAAAATAAAAATAACATTCCTCGTACCGGGCTACTACGCCAATTAAAATGACATTGTCTCGCACTAAGCTAGACGTTTATTAAGCTTAGTTTTGCCTGATAAAAGATTACTTATAATGGAGCATCGAGTGAAGATCGATTCACGACACGAATGAAAGATGTGCAACATTAATGTTTTGACCAACGCTCCACAGTAGCCGCCCATAAAACCTAATTTTTACATGAGCAGTGTCACATGACTATGATATTCAATATTGTACCAGGGCCGTTTTTCTCTTATAATTTGAGATCTGACATAACAGAAGAAAATAAAAGACACGGAGAAAAATATGCTAATCAATAATCTGGAGATGGTCATCGGTAATCCAGCTGGAAAGAATAGTGTGAGAAAAGATCAAGAAACTTCCGTTAATGTTAATATAAAATAAAATTTATAAAAAATGCCTGCTATATTATGTAATGGAAAGGCCGCCATTTTAATACATCAACATTAAAATGGGAGGTGCTGATTTTTTTCTACCAGACCTACTTCCCAATATCTGACCAAATATCAGAATTTTCTTGAATCCCGTCTTAGTCCGTCTAAAGACGTTTTAGCAACCCCCTCATAATTAGCCCTATCTGTATTTTTTTTTAAAACCTGAGTTCGTATCCTGGAGGAAGTGTTTTGATCTTGGGGCATCTTTATTCCCCACTATATTGATGCAATAATATTAAATAATAATAATAGCATGTTTTCATGTGTTTGAATAAATTTAAATAGTGACAAATTTTTTTTTCTTTTGTTTCATTTTCTTATTTTTCTTGCATAATAATTAGAATACATTATACATTGCATAACATTCTAAAATACGTACCTCAATGAAATTGTTAAAAAACTCAGCATACCGTAATGAAAACATGTTCCAAATGTAATGAAAACATACTTTTATCGTCAAAATCTTGAGGAAGGATCAAAGTAATTTTTGAATTTTTGATTAATTTTTTCACTCCTTTTAGAACGTTCGAAAATTTGATTAAAAAATCGTTTTTCTTGCGTCAGCATAGCAAATTTTAGACTATTTGTGGTGAAAGACACCTTAATTTAGAAAATCTTGCAAAAGTCAAATAACTGTCACATTTTAGTGAAATTTTCAGAAACTATTCACCAACGAATGAAATTTTTAAAAAATTTTTATTAGAAAATCTTCGTAAAAATATTTTTCTTTTTACATGTGTTTCATCCCCTTACTTAATTTATAAAGACTTCAGAAATTCAACGTGATAACTTTTAGTGACTATTAATTTAAAACAGAATTCTTTGGAGAATTTAAACCACCGAATTATTTTGCAAAATCTGATTCCGTCTTACCGAAAATCTATTCTGAATCGAAAAATAAAAAAACGCAATAAAACTAAGACATTATTCAAATAGAGAAGCTTTCAATTGCTTCTATGAATAATATGTATTAAACACAGTATTGTCTGATGGAAAAAAAAGATTTTTTATGAAAAATGAATTTTACAGGATTTTTTTTTCACTTTTAAATTGAATAATTTGATTTTTTAAATCTTTTAAAATTCAGTTTCTATGTGATAACTCTTAGGAAATATTGAAGTAAAACTATATTTACTAATCATATATTGTAAAGCTCTGACGACCCCGATTATTTTTAAAAGAATTTCGATTTGTTTTTGTATGTGTATATACGTGTAGAATTTCTAAGTAAGAATGTACAAACATTTCATTAAAAGGTCACGTTTTAAGGGTTGTCTTACCCCTTACGGAAAAATCCTTCCTATAAACTTTACCGTCTGCTCCACCATACTTAACTATGATAACGTTCGATGGTCATTCGGCTGTCAATAAATCAGTTAACACGTGAGAAAATCAAGACCCCGTGGTTAAGAAATGCTTATACAACATTTTAGGCTATAAGTAAGCAGTATTTGTTTCAAATCAGATTAATTTGACTTTTAATTTGCTAATTTTCCTCAAATAACGTTTAAGAAAAACATTTTATTTTTGCAAGATTTTTAAAACCAAGAATTAGCTTTTATTTATCAATGGCCGTTTTTTACTGAAAAAAATCGATTCCGATCAATATAATTTCTGTTTGAAATACACCACAGAGTACTTTGCTAACTGGAAATATTAAATTTTAAATCCTTTAGCTTTCAATTAAAGTTAAAATGAAAGCTTCAAGAAAGCTTTTTCATTTTTTTTTTATTTTTTTTTAAATCCTTTAAAACCATATGTATACCGAATTAGTGGCCGTGGAGGTACCTATCTAAAATGTTTTTTAGGAATCTCAATTTGAGTTACCTCCCTTACATAAAACATTGACAAATACGTATTTCTGAGGGTCAACCAAAAATAAGTTGTAAAATGTAAACTTATACTAGAAGTAAAATATACCGCATCCAAAACTCCGCTACACACATATACCTCCCCCATATACACACACACATTATACTTGTTATAGTAATGGCACAATAATGGTGATGATACACAACACAACCTTTCCTTTCAAAATTGTAAGAAATCATTGTATAAGCACCAAATCCTAAAGAAAAATTTAGAGAAGAGGACAACATTTTCTATTCATAAATTTCTTTGAAAGTCAATAGCCGAGAATGTTTAATAAACAAGAGTAAAGTGATTTTATCAAATTTATTTTCTTTATTATTTATTTATTGCACATTGCATAGAAGAAAATTCTAGTCAGTTCAAGGGAAATAACTGATGCTTCCATCAACTTACGACAAAGATTACCTCCTTTTCAGAGATTACTTTGGATCGATAGGCAGACAAAAAAACAATAAAGATATTATCACACACGCACGGCCATATACAGAGAGAGAGAGAGAGAGTGTGTGTGTGTGCGCGCGCGTGTTTTGATGCAGAAATGAGAGAATAAGACAATGAGAACTAAGTTATCAAGAATTCACCAGTGACAAGGTTCTCACCGCACAACGAAAATAAACCAGGTGATAGCCTTTTTTTAACGATCCCAGATAAAAAGAGACAAACTAATAATTAGAGAGGAAGAACAAGGCACCAATCCAACATGTTTTTTTGTTGTTTTTTTTTATCTTAAGTGGAACATATTTGTCTCTTTCCAAACCTATGACTTTAACTTTTTCAATTGATAAATTATAAGGTTGAGTGTGTAGTTGAAGAAACAAAGCTATCATTTGTTTTACAGGTCGACCATTACAGTCTGCAGTATATTGGAAGGCTGAAAGCCCAGCAATAAGAGGGCGAATTCCTGCTCTGAAAGTATTTTTTAATTACGTGTTGAGTTGATATTGTCTAATCTAAAAAGGAAAGGTCAAAAACCTGCTGCCATAGCAAGGTTTCTGTCGTGAGTATATAAAATCTAGAATTTTTCTTCTATGATTAAGAGACGACAATTCTCCTCGACTCTAGTATTTTCATAAAATCATCACGGACTTTAGCAATGATATTATTATTATTATTATTATTATTATTATTATTATTATTTTCTTTGATTTCTGGCGTTTACATTTCTTTTCCTGGTCCGCCCAGGGACCTAAAGGTTAGAAAATGGCGTCATGACACTTTCCACTGACAAAAAAAAAATTAAATTACATAGATAAAGCCCTTCGTAAGGTGTGGGCTGTACTTGTCAGAACAATTTTTGTATCTCCTTGAGGCATGGACTTCAGGAATCCCTTCAACTAGTCTACTGCAATCTTTTTCAACCAGTCCTGGGGCTCCAACTACAACAGGGATTGTTGATGTTCCCATATGCCACATTTTCGAGATTTCTATTTCAAGGTCCTTGTATTTTGACAACTTTTGAATATCTTCAAAGATACATTGCAGTCAGCAGGGACTGCCATATCAATAAGGAGGCATCGTTTTGTTTGTGGTCTTCTTTAACAATATCTGGCCGGTTGGCCTTGATTGTTCTGTCAGTGTGTATTGTGTAGTCCCATAGAATTGTAACAGGTCCTATCTCCGTAACCGGGTCTGGGTGGTGTTCATATCAGTTTCTTTCAGTTTTCTTCCCGTAGAAGTTGCAGATTTTCCAGTGCAGATTATTATTATTATTATTATTATTATTATTATTATTATTATTATTATTATGTGAGAGAACCGCATTCAACTAAGTAATACTGGGTACAAATAGACAACGTTCAATATACCCATCATGATGCCGAGATTTATAAGGGTATACCAAGCACATGCATCGCAGCCAAACACACACAAAAAAAAAAACAGCGAATAACCTTGCAGGTGAGGCCCGGTTATAAATACATTCGGGTCGGGTAACCCAGTCTGCTTAGACGGTCTCCAATTGAGGGTGTTCCCAAGTATCCAAATATGACGCCCAAGTCGATTTGCCTAACTCGTTCTTCAATCTTAATATATAACCTCTTGACACCTGGTTATGATACCCCTCCCATTACACTCGCTCATGAACAGAGAAGCATCGTGTGTCTGTCCCTAGAAAGTTTGATCAAGCCGTTATGGTCAAGCAACTGACAAAAGTATATATGTGGTACTGAACGGGATTTTTAATGTAGCCCATCTTAATTCAATAAGACAGTGCATGAGCAATTAATTAACACCTCCAATCAGTTAAGATCAGAAGCCATGAGAGCCATAACTGGCGTATTATTATTATTATTGGGTTTTTTGAATTTTTACATAAGTTATAACTAATAACTCGCACTATAGATCAAGTGACAACAGATTTATTCAGTTTTATTACTATCATTATTATTTGTAGTAACAGGAGTAACCGTTAGTTATCTCTAGATATCGAATGATAATATATCTCCCCAAATGTTTAACAGCCCACCATCAGGCATTTTACAGATTTTAGCGCTGCTGTAGTCATTTTGACTTTTCTTTGTATCGACAACTTCTCTCTGGTTATTATTTGAATTCTTTCAATTCTTTAACTAATGAAGAAGATAATATTATACATTTTTAATGTTTTCACACCAGAAAATACAAGAGATCAAGTGACAATAAGTCCTTAATACGCCTGCATTTCCTTCAGAAATTCTCTGAGACTCTGGGATTCAAACGGATCCATCAGCCCAGGCCAGTGAACCTAGCTGTCATAAAACAATAAGAAAATTTGCTAGATGAGGGATATTGTACGGTAGAGTAACATTCAAAGAAAGTTTATATATATATATATATATATATATATATATATATATATATATTTATGTATGTATGTGTGTTTCGTTGAATAATTTAGAATCTAAACAGGACTAACGAGATGGTGATGACATTATTATTATTAGTAGTAGTATTAGTATTGAAACTAAGTAGACAGAACATATCTATGTTCTGTCTACTTAGTTTCAATACTGGAAGTTAAACGACAACAGATGTCTCGACACTACAAACAAATTCACTGGCCATCTTTTAAGCCCTTTTATTTTATGTCCCCGATTTAATAGTTTCAATCAGACTCTTATTTAAGCTACACTCACACATGCGCGCACGCAAACACTCAAACTGAAATTTTCAAAATACTAACTACTATATGATGGATGGTACATATGAGAGAATATGCAGATCAAATATACGAAGTCATTAAATTTAATATTCTGAATTAAAGAAAACGTTACCACTGTATAAGTCGGGGGATGGGGTAATTCGGATATTGCAAGTGGTGGTGGAGGGAGAAGGCTAAAGAAAATGTTACGTTTTAAAGCTTACTGATCCTATATAATTAATATTATATTACTACTCCAAAAGTTATTTCGTGGATACCTATCTATGATTAGTCGTCTTGTTTTTTATTTTCAATTTTTGTTTGTTTTTCTTAGTATGAATTACGTCCACTGGCCTGTGCATTCGAAAGACTTAATGTAGAAGATGTGCACAATGTCTCTCAAATGCGCAGGCAAATAGACGTAAAAATACAGCGTGTCTACTCAAACATGTGTATTCACAAAATAGCATTTGGAGTAGTAGGAAATAATGCCGGATATAAAATACAACGATTCCATCTATTACTCCTTTCGCCCCAAGCAAGGCGATAATGCCACAAAGATGCAAGGGATTACAGAAAGAGAATGAAAAGACTTTAGGAAAAGGGACCGGAAGTCCAATCCTAAACAGAAAACAAGGGATAAACTTTTACTCAGGTTCAAAAGATGGGGGTTAGTAGATTGTTGAATAATATCAATAAATAATAACACTGCTTGCTTTAACTTTCTAATAACTGTTTAGTGTCTATTCATTGTAGAGTTGCTTTGTTTACTTTGTTTGCTTTATGTCCAAACGCCACCTGATTAGCTCATGTTTTTCCCCTTCAAAATTGTCATCCAAACTGAAAAGGAAAGGAGGAAATCTTTGTATTTATAAAGTGACAGAGAAAATGAAATAGAAAGATTAAGATACAAAATACATTTTCGACATTTTGAGATTAAAAAAACAAACAAAACAAAAACGACGACTGAAATTTCAGACAATTTTGGCTTGTTTTTATAACTCGTTTAAGAACTGTATTTTATTATGAGTGTTAACAGCAGCGTCGGACTTTCACCAGCTGCATGAAATTCGAGGCCCTTCCCTAAAAGAATTCGTGTAAAAAAAATAAAATAATTGTACATGATTATTATTGATTAATGATTACATATATAATCTTTGATGATTTAGTGTTAAAGAATAAAAACTAATGATAAAATAAAAATATATTTAAAAAGAAAAACAGGTGTCCCCGAGTGTGTGTGACTCTAAGCACATAGCTTATTTAGCTTGTAGGTAAGTCCGGCACTGGCTAACAGTTCAATCGACAGGATACTTAAAAAAAAATAAAATAAAATAAAACACATAAAATAAAATACATAAAATAAAATAAAACTAAATATTCAGTAGTAACGTTTCATACGTATATTCAACATTTTAGCCTAGGCCAATAAACGATTAAAAAAAGACAGAAAATTAAAAACATTGACTGTTTCTATTTTAAAAAAAATATTGAAAACAGTTTTTAATTAATGCATAGTTTTTAAAGACACGACTTTAGAATAGACTTGTATTCAATCTGATCAATTTAGTGTGTAAATACCAATCACCACACACCGATTATTACACTTGAGGCTTTTTGATAACCGAATGAAATCTAAATAAATATCGTAACAGTTATGGTGTTATCACAGACCAAAGTTTTTCAATGAATAAAACAAAAAGAACAACATATGAACAACAAAAATAGACAAACAGGGATGTCAAATTGTAAATAAGTCCATTTTAAAGGGAACTTTCATAATTGCCTCCTCCTCAAAACAAAAAATGGAAAAAGGGTTAGGTTTTAATTTGGGTATGACGTTAATTGGTATACTCTCGTATTCAGGAAGTACAAGCTTAAAAGTCTACGATTTGAATTTCTTTACAATTTTTATGCAACTCGTTAACCATTGGTCAACAGCGAGGATAAGATCTGTCAACCCAAAAGGGGCTGAGTCAAATTCGCTGACAAACTTACTTGACAAAGGACTCGCAATTTGAAACTTGACAGTACCAATCGATAAAAGATTGGTAGAAATTTTCTTATGAATTGAGGAATTGTCAAAAACAGATTTTTAATTAATTCGAACTTTTGTTCTCATCTTTGATTCTAAAAGGTGCAATTGCTATAGACATAGTGTTTCGACCAAGTACTCTCTGACCTTCTTCAGGTGTCCAGCATAACACATGCTTTAGTTGAAACGAACAAGGAACATCACAGAAACAAAAATTACACAATAATCAATATATACAAAATATCCCATCTTAGCTAAAATAATGGACAAATGAAGATGACCTGTGGGTACCTGATCGAAACGTTGTTTCTACAATAACACCAATAACAATCAAAGATGGGAATGATCTTTCAAATAAATAAAATATATGAAAACTGCATATTTAGGTATTTATTTTAACTTGTTAATTAAATTAAGATAATACTAAAATATACAAGAAATGTGTATATCTTTCTGGGGACCAGTATCAGTGCGTCTGTCTGTGTGTACACGCGCGTCTGTCTGGAGGTGTATGCACGTTCGCGTGTGACTCGAAAGCTGATGGAACAAAAGTTGCTGAAAAGTTCTTAGCTCGACTCACTTTATAAAATATGATCAAACATCAAACAAAATTTGTTTTTTTTTTTTTTTTTTTTTTTTTAAAAAAACTTCTTTAGCGAGTTGAATACTTTTCAGTACACTTTCGTAAATATGACAACTTATTTTTTATACCTGAAGACATTTTTTTCGAATTCCCCCTAGATCCTGAAAATACCACATAAAATCACCGAGAAAGAGATGATAAGGCGTCTTTCCCCCCCCCTAACAATCAACGCATTTGTTTATTTGCATTACATTGTAAAGCTAATTTAATTTTTTTTTTTTTTAGAAAATGCGAGAAATTCTATCGAATATTCTGAAAAGATATTCATTTCGGCCATCTTATGTTTTATGGGCTGACGGTCGACAAATCTTTCTACTTCTTCTTCTTCATCTTCTGCTAAAGGAGGCATGCTAGCATTTTTAACCATACTTTAAGATGAACGTATGGTCGGAAAATTCACCTATCAAAAATACATACCCTTTAACTTTTTTCTTCTTTTATATGCATAAAACAACAGTTCAAAAGGCAGGTACTGGTTACGTTTACAAAAGACATTAAATACTATAATAGAAAAAAAATTGGAGAACTATGTCATTAAATAAAATAATTATTATCGAAGGCAGAGGAAGGAGAGAAAACAAAATGGAGAATTATTTTCAAAATGGAAGATCGTACTACTATTTCTGCATAAACGGACATCTTGGGCGCTTCTCTTTGCTGACAAAGAGGCTTTGATTTCCTTGGAAGCCATTTAAAAAATATTATTTTATTTTTAAATTTTGCATTTATTTTATGTCTATTTTTTCTATGACAATGTTCAGTCCGTCTGCACATTATGAATATCAGCCAATCAGAAGTTAGGAGAGGTCAGTCTGGAGCAATTGTATATTGCAACGAAGAGTTAGCTTCCTTAATAAATTATACAAAAACAAAAGGATGAAAAGGAAGACGAATCATGTTAGACGAGGATGTTCGTGACTCTGAAAGATGTTAATATCGGCATTTCTTAATGAAGTGAAGACACAAATGATACAAGCCCCGTAAATTTGTTCTTAGGCTATTGATCTTGTTTTTGTCAACGATGTTTCGCTTGTTTTTAAATACATTTTGTTCTTATTGTCTCTGCCGTCTCCATTTTGAAAGCTGAAGCAGACATTTGGGATTTCATAAGAATTTGATTTTGGAGGAAAGTGGGGAAAAAAGTGTGCGGTGTATACCGAAGAAAGAAAGCAATTTTTGATTCCATCACGTCCCTCGACATTTAACAATATCATCGCTGCAAGCTTCCAACAATCTGAATGTAGAAAGTAAACATTTCACATTGTATTTTCAAACTAACGTTCATTCAATATTTATCAGGTCTATTGTTCGAATTAATCGCTACCGTTATAAACGATATTTTTCATTAGGTTCATTCATTGAAATAAGATTATTTCAAAACCGGTTAATGATTTTGATAATACATAGGAGTCATTTATTGATTATATTGCGGTTAGTGTGACATATATCGGCACGGGAAATGGAATCGTCGAGACGATTTCAAATACCAACCGAACTTCCTGTGTTCACTTTCGTCCAAATACCATTAGGATCCGTCTCTTCTCCTCCACTCCCAGCTATGGGTTAAATAGCAGGGTAGACTGGGCTATTTAGCCTTGGGTGGCAACCAGTCTAAGAGAAGGGAAGCTCCGAACTCCAAACCGTCGAAAAGACAACGGGTAACCAATCCGCTATTTTTATTTCCAAAAGTGAATGACATTTTACAGATAATAAAGCAAAAAGAATCCGTCTGAAACTATGATCGCCTATGTCCTGAAGGAACTTGGCATTTTTTATTTATTATCAGTTGCCGAAGAAAATTCTTTTCTTTTGATATTTTCATCGTAAGCTTTACATTTTTTTCTTATTTATTAAAACGTTTTAACCAGCTTTTATTCCAACCACTGCCAGAGTTTACGGCGGAGAAGTCGAAAATAAACGTATTTGCAAATAGACAAGACATTCTTGCTAATTATTTTAACTCATTTCTCTGAATCGTCATTCCTATAAATATTAAGAATTTCTAATTGTATATGTATTATAATCTATAATCCGCATACAATAGGAAATTTCTTCCTAATAATTTACGTATTTTGTGTATAATTTTAACCACGATTTTATCATGTACAATAGCTTATAAGTTATTGAATCAGTTTTTCCTCACAAAAATAAATGTAATGTACTTTGCTTTGTAGAAAATGTAATTAAAATCTATCTAAAATCTATTTCAGCTATTTTGTGGTATTTTGGAGAACTCAGAATCGGATCCAATCAGAATGGCTTGTGAAGATAACATCCAAACCACTATTCGCGTGTCCGAGTAAAAGAATTAAAAGCTTTCTATTAATTAAACTATGACACTTTATTAACAACGTTTATTAAATTTCAGTCAATAAGGCCTATTTCCAATCAGAGATGCATTGATTATTGATGAACTGATTATTTACATATTTCTTCTCTTCTCTCCTGGCCAATAAATTTAAACCAATTTTACAAGAGTAATTTTGTTGTCCTGTATGTAAAATGGTTGGTTTGTCATTAGAGGATGTAATTTAAGATAAAATCTTTTTTCTTTCTGTTCTTCTGTCATCATAATCGACCGGTTATAGGGGAAAAAAAAAAGACCGTAGGTACATGACCAGAAATTCTCCTGTGTACCATTATGGATAGGAGTTCAACACACCGGGTAACATTTGCGTCACACTCTATCGATTGGCAAAGACTGAAGTGTGTGGGGGCGCCAGTTGAAACGCTGCGTGACAAAATATAACGGTGGAGATGAAACCTGAAGAAATTAACATAATTTATCCTTTACCAAGCAATCAAACCCACCCTTTATGTTTCTTTCTTTCTTTCTTTTTCAGCTCCTGACCTCCACTCCGCCTCAAGTTCTCTTTCTTTATAATTACATATTTCATTATCTTATCAATCACTTTCATACTTGGATTTCTAAGTCTTTTTTTATACTCGGACAGTTCCCATTATACGTGGCGAGAAGCGATTTGCTTAATTCAGGATTGCTGTGAGCAAATCTTTTCGAATTTAAACTCTGATGGCCAAAATTCTTCTTGTCTTCCATGTCAAATTCTGAAAATAGAAAAAAAAAGTCCTTTTGAAACATATTCGAATAAGAATGTCAGAACAGAATTTGCGTTTCCCTATTATTATATGACATCTTTCAAAACTAACATAATTAATCATGTATAATACGCATCCCTATCTTTGAGCGAGAAAATCATATAAAAATGCTATCGTCTATATGAGCAGCCATACACGACATTATCAGAAAATAAGAGCGATTACTATAGGAAATTTAAAGACAACATTCCTAAAATCAGATTATGGAGATTATTTTCTAAAAATTTTTAAGATTATTGAGTACTTAAAAATTATATAAAAAGGTGCTCACGTCATTTTTCTTAAATTATGTTTTATAGATAAAGTCTCCGTAGAACAACAATAAAACTGCCATCACTTATCAAACACGTAAACATGGCTACTGTTGGTTAAAAAATACAGCAACTGTCTGGTTCTAAAATGCATTTCTGTGTTATTTTGAACTTAAAGTAAATAATATTTGTTTCAAATCAGATTAATTATACTTTAAATCAGCGAATATTACTCAAATAAAGTTTCAGAAAAGTATATTTTATTTTTTGGAAGATTTTTAATAAAGACAATTACATTGATAAAAGACGATAAAAAGACGGCTAAAAAAAGACCGCTAATCAGCTATTTTAGAAAAAAAAAAAAAAAAAAAGAAAAAGAAAAGACAAATCGATTCCAATCAATATAATTTCTGTTTGAAATACACTAGAGTAATTTACTTACTGAAAATAGTAAATGTAATCCTTTAACTTTCAATTAAAGTTAAAATGAAAGCCTCAAAAAGTTTTTACATTTTTTAATATTCATTTTAAACCTTCGGTATCCTGAATTAGTAGAGGTGCCTATATAAAACATACTAACTTTTTAGAATTTGTAGCAGCTAAATTTAAACTAAATTTAACATCTGGTCTAATTTTTATCCAGTTCGTATCGACTAAACATAAGAATCGATATAGTTTGCAATATGTTTTGAAACACAAAATTAACAGAGTATTTAGAAGAAACGCCATGAGTATTTTTGTGGTGAAAACAAACTCACACAAGTAGAAACACAATTACAAGCAAACGCACATTCCAGTTGATAGAACGAAGTCATTGAAAAAAATGTTGCATGACGAACGCACTGAACAGCAGTGAAAATGCCATTTTTTTTTTGAGAATATCGAAGACGAAGGCATCAATTACGATGACAACAATAGATGAAACTGTCAGGTCGTCGACCTTTGACACGGACAGCACTGGTGCAGACTAAAATGTGCTTAAGATGACAAATATTTTTTTTTTTAAATCAGATGCCATCTTTGTTCAGCGATTTAAACTCTTTGTTACACGTTTGTTTAGAATACATATATAGCTTAGAAAATAGAAAAATTAATAGAAACAATATTAAATTAATTACGGTACATCGACACGATAAATATTTATTAATGCAATACGTATCGCGGAGCCCCAAAACGCAGATTCAAAGCCCAACCTTCAAGACGGAATGAGCTGTAACCCCTGGGAAACAGAAGCTGTCGATCGTCCATCCTGGCGAAGAGTAATTAATTTCGGTTGTTCCATTTTCGAGAAAAGGAGAAAAAACTGAAGAGGAGTAAAAAGGCAAACGCAGGGCCTGGCAGCTCCAGACCATCCCCCTGCCCTACTATGCGATCAGTGACCGAGACTGTTCCATTCCCGATTTGGCTTAAGATGCCAAATCGGTTTCAAACATCGTGGAGGCACCGGATAAACCAAACTCGGACACGAGTGGTGCCGATGACGTCGAAAAGGTATTTAGTCCGATCCAAAATCAAAAGATATTCTCTGATCAATTTAAAATCAAAATTGTCTCATTGCCCAATCGGCATAATATGCCTAGCGTTTTATAATAGCTCTTGAGGCGATGCCATCACTTGTGAGTACTCATCTTCTTCTCAAGTAATATGCGGAAAGTTGTAGTAGGTTACATGGTACCAGAAGCTGGGAATAATCTTTGATCTGACCTATTGGGAGAGACGGATTCACGCCAAGGGTATCAGCTCGAAGAGAACACAAATTACTACCTTTGAACTTTGTTTGCCAATTCCATTTTGCTATTCCATTAACCGCCAGGCTAATTCCACACTTTTATCAAAACACCCTATGTCAAGTAAACATTAATTGAAAATGAAAAAAAAGACTCCTTCATCGACAGTTCTATCATATATTTTAATTCCGTGTACTCCTCTTCTCACGTCCGTTCCACCAGTCATTAATTTCATTGTCATAAATTTATTTTTTAACAAAAGTAGGGACATAGCATTCCATTAATAAAATAGAAATAAAATAAAATCTTTATTAAATTGAATTAAAAAAAAATGTACACCCTCAAATAATAACGTCTTGTTTGCGAGGAAAGATGAAAGGACAAGACATTTCAAAGACGCTGTTTGGTTTTAATGCGAAGAAAGAAAGAAAAGAAAGAAAGAAAGAAAGAATAACGGAAACGATAACGATATCAGTAGCTTAACATCTGCTTCAGTCAAATGGAAAAACTGCGTTAATTTTGAATAATTTCATTCGTATCCTCATCTTTAAATAATGACCCGCGTTCATAATTACGACAGTTATTAATGTTTTGTTAAGCCCAACTAAACGATGCGGTAGTTGAATTTCCACGAACTTATTCAATAACTTAATGCAGAATCCAAATTATAAGAAAACCGTGAAATTTATACAGCTACTGATAATTACTAATAATTTTCATACTATTTTTCACCCAATACAAGGCACAAGAGCCACTCAAGAAGGTAATTACTGAATGAGGGTGTTGTAATTATCAACACTATAATTTTTCGCTAAAGACTACTATCACACAAATATAGACAACTGTATATACTTTCAGTGTTATGAACAAATCAGCATTTTTTTAATTCTTTCTTACTATTGATGAAAGACTTTCTAGACACGATTTCTCTTCTTCAGATTCACCTCAACACTAGGCATCCGTTCTTCAGACATCACCTCCCCATTATATTAAAAGAGAAGTAATGATATTCACTAATACATACCGTTAATACGGATGTTCTACGGGCAGTTTTAATTGTTTCAACGGGCCTTTTCTTGCATTCTTTGTATATATATATATATATATATATATATATATATATATATATATATATCTCTCTCTCTCTCTCTCTCTCTCTCTCTCTCTCTCTCTGATTAGGAGCCTGGATAAATAGCATCTGGATTTTATAGTATTGTGGTCGGTGTATTCGCGTGCAACTAAAAATATTTTTTATGAAAGTACTGGATTAAGGTACTCCTAAAATACTCATTGCATCTTCTCGCTTTAACGTTTTCCGCTGACATGAAGTGGAAAGATTATATCGAATCAATTGCTAGGTCTGCTGCTAGGAAAGCTAGACATGTTTACACATTTATAAGTATACAATTCGTCTACGTATTGAATATTGCTGTCACATCTGACCTGATTCTTCTGCTTTGTATTTAGAGGTACTTGATAAAATACCAAGAAGAATCTGCAATGTTATTGGTACCGACATGGCATTTCGGCTTCAGTCACTTTCCCACCGCCGTAAAGTAACTTCTTTGTGCCCTTTCTATAAATATATTTATGGTAATTGTTCTGATTAACTTGATGAATTTAAGCGCAGTACTAGATTGGCGTTAATGTCTCATCATTTTACAGTTTAAATGTAACTGTAAGATCTATGCTAATAATGTTTTCTCTCGCACTTCCCGTTTGTGAAACTCTCTTCCGGCTTCTTGTTTTCTAGTCAACTTTGATCTCCAAAACTTTTAAGTGCATTATCGACAATTATCTTCTGTCTTTTTAATTCCTGTTCTTTTGTTTTCTCTCCTTAAT